TCATCTGAGAAACTGTACCATTACACGAATTTTATTTTTAAAGATTTATTTATCTGAAAGTCAGAGTTACACAGAGAGAGAGGGACAGGCAGAGAGAGAGAGAGAGAGAGAGAGAAGGGTCTTCCATCCGCTGGTTCACTCCCCAGTTGGCCCCGATGGCCGGAGCTGCACCAATCTAAAGCCAGGAGCCAGGAGCTTCCTCCAGGTCTTCCCATGCGGGTACAGAGGCCCAAGGACTTGGGCCATCTTCCACTGCTTTCCCAGGCCATTACAGAGAACTGGATTGGAAGTGGGGCAGCCGGGTCTCAAACCGGCACCCATATGGGATGCCGGCACTGCAGTCAAGGGCTTTACCCGCTACACCACAGCACCGGCTCCCTACATGAATGTTTTAAATAGTCTAGATTCTGTCCCCTTTACCCTAAATAGTTCATCTGCAACATTAAAATTCTTTGATATCAGTGAAATTAAAAAAAAACACATTGTACGCTACACCACAACGGGGAAAATTAACACTCAATACCAAATGTTGGCAAAGATAAGTCAGATACACTATTGGTGGAAGTACAAAACTAGTAAGATCATATTGGAAGACTGTTTAATAACACCTACTCAAGCTCAACATCTATTCCACATTTACTTTTAATAAAGGGATCACACAGTGTGTAGCATTTCCACTTCTGTGAACACAGTAAACATAAATTCATATACAGTATCACCAAAAGTGAATTTCACAATGTTTACAGTTGCACTATTTCCAATAGTAAAAAAAAAAAAAAAAAAAAAGACACAAACCTAAATGTCCATCAGCATAAAATGGATAAAATGGTTAAACACACTGTGGTAAATTCACTCAGTGGAACACTATTCAGACTAAGTATGAAGAAAGCTGGGACCAGCACTGTGGCATGGCAGGTAGAACCGCCGCCTGCAGTGCCAGCATCTCTTATGGGTGCTGGTTCAAGTCCCAGCTACTCCACTTCCAACCCAGCTCTCTGCTAACGGCCTGGGAAAGCAGTAGAAGATGGCCCAAGTCCTTGGGCCACTGTACCAGCATGGGAGACCCAGAAGAAGCTCCTGGCTCCTAGCTTCAAACCAGCACAGCTCCAGCATTTGCAGCCATTTGGGGAGTGAACCACTGATGGAAGATATCTCTCTGCCTCTCTAACTCTTTGCCTTTCAAATAAATAAATAAATCTTAAAAAGCATTAAAAAATTTTAAGAAAACTATATACAACATAGATGTACTAGACAAAAAAATGAACAAAATATGTATGTATGAATCATACAGTACTGTAAGATTCCATTTGTGTAAAATTCAGAAGAGACAACACTCACATATGGTGCACCACCTCAGAACAGCCCCTATTCTTCAGTGTGGGGGACAGATGTGGAGCTGGTGGTAACAATCTTCCAGTGGAAGTATAAAACACGAGTTTATCAACTTCATGAAAATTCATCAAATTTAAAATTCATAAATGTATGGGTTATGCACTTGCTACAGAAATGTTAGATGTTAATCAAAATTGATGTTGAAAAAACACTTCATTGGAAACTCATGACTGGTGCATAGGGAGATTACTGAGGCCATAAACAGGAGTGTCAATTTGTAAAGTCAACAACAGGAGTCACTGTGCACTTACTCCTCATGTAGGATCTCTGTCCTTAATGTGCTGTACACTGAGGCTTAATGCTATAACAAGTACTCAAACAGTATATTTCACTTTGTGTTTCTATGGGGGTGCAAACGATTGAAATCTTTACTTAATGTACACTAAACTGATCTGCTGTAAAAAAAACAAATAAAAAAGAGAAATTATCAATTCCCAACTTGACTCTCACTGGGATTAAACATGACAATAGGTCTGATCTGATTTCATCATCATTTAAAAAAATCATCTATTATTTTTCACTTTATGTTTCTGTGTGGGAACAAACTGTTGAAATCCTTACTTAAGGTATACTAAGCTGATCTTCTGTATATTAAGATAATCGAAAATGAATCTTGATGTGAATGGAAGGGGAGAGGGAGTGGGAAAGGGGAGGGTTGTGGGTGGGAGGGACGGTATGGGGGGGAAAGCCATTGTAACCCATGAGTCGTACTTTGGAAATTTATATTCATTAAATAAAAGATAAAAAAAAAAAAAAGAAAAAGAAAAAACACTTCAGAAGCATTTTAACAATACAATTTGTAAGGAAAATACTCCAATCTCATCTCACTTCAACTCACCTCAGCAGCATTTTTTAATTTTTATTTATTTTTTATTTTTATTTATTTTTATATTTATTTTTAAAATTTTTATTCATTTATTTATTTGAGAGGCAAAGTCACAGACAGAGAGAGGAAGAGACAGAAAGAGAGCTCTTCCATCCACTGGTTCACTCCCAAAATGGCCGCAATGGCCAGAATGAGGCCGAACTGATGCCAGGAACCAAGAGCTTACTCCAGGTCTCCCATGTAGATGCAGGGGCCCAAGCACTTGGGCCATCTTCTACTGCTTTCCCAGGTCCTCTGCAGGGAGCTGGATAGGAAGTAGAGCAGCAAGAACACAAACCAACACCCATATGGGAAGCCAGAGCTGCAGGCAGAGGCTTAACCTACTACCCCACAACGCTGGCCTAAACAATTTTTTTTAAAGATTTATTTATTTGAAAAGAGTTGGGGGTGGGGGGGAGTGAGAGCAACAGAGCGCTCTTCCATCCTCTGGTTTACTCCCAAATGGTCACAATGGCCATGGCAGGGCCAGGCCAAAGCCAGGAGCCAGAGCTTCTTCCGGGTCTCCCACATGGGTGCAGGGGCCCAAGGACTTGGGCCGTCTTCTGCTGCCTCCCCAGGCACATTAGCAGAGAGCTGGATCAGAAGCAGAGTAGCTGGGACTCGAACTGGTACCCATATGGGATGACAATGTCACAGACAGTAGCTTTACCAGCTACGCCACAACACCAGCCCCAGCATTTATTTTTTAGTGTATTTGATTTGATATGGTCTCAAGTTCTGATTCTACTTTTACTGTACCCAAAAGATGAGTCAACAAATAGATTTGCTAATAATTTTAGTAACTCAACTAGATTTCACGTTATAAAAACAAGAAACGTTGGGGCCGGTGCTGTGGCGCAGCAGGTTAATGCCCTGGCCTGAAGCCTCGGCATCCCATATGGGCACCGATTCTAGTCCCGGCTGCTCCTCTTCTGATCCAGCTCTCTGCTATGGCCTGGGAAAGCCCAAATCCTTGGGCCCCTGTACCCACGTGGGAGACCCCGAAGAAGCTCCTGGCTCCTGGCTTCGGATCAGCCCAGCCATTTGGGGAGTGAACCACTGGATGGAAGACCTCTCTCTGACTTTACCTCTCTCTGTAACTCTTTCAAATAAAAATAAATCTTGAAAAAAAAAAAAACAAACACGAAATGTGATAGCTTCAAGTTATTATAAATGAATATGAACTTTTTGTCAAGTCCATTTTCATAATACTCCTTGTTCCCATTTCTTCACCATTAAAATTAACTTGATATCTATCTTTCCATACCTTTTTCTTTGTATTTATGTGTGTAATAGATACAAATATTGCTCAGATGGATACGGATATGGATATTAAAAATCTGCTGTCAACTTTTTAGTTTTAAAAATGGAGGTGGGGGATGGGGAAGGGATTACAGTATAGTTGTAAACCTGCTGCCTGTGATACTGTTATCCTATATGTACACCAGTTCATGTCTCAGCTGCTCCACTTCCGATCCAGCTCCCTGGAACAGCCTGGGAAAAGCTGCAAAAGATGGCCCATGCGCTTGGGCCCTTGCCAACCACATGGGAGACCCAAATGAAGCTCATGGATCCTGGATTTGGCCTTGCTCAGCCCCTAGCTACTGGAGTCATCTGGGGTGTGAAGCAGTAGATGGAAGACCTCTCTCCTTCTCTCTAACTCTTTCAAATTTTTTTTTCTAATGTAGGTGGGTGTTTGGCACAGCAGTTATGATGTCACTTGAGATACCCACATGCCATATTGGGGCCTGGGTTCAAGTCCAAATTCAATTTCTGATGCAACTTCCTGCTAATGCACATGCTGGGAGGCAGCAGGTGATGGCTTTGTACTTTAATCCCTGCTACCAAGGTGGAAAACCATCATAAACTTCAAGCTCCTGGCTTTGGCATGACCCAATTCCAGCTATTACACGCATTTGGTGAGATCAACTGATATCCCTCTCTCTCTCTCTGCCTTTCAAATAAATTAACAAATTAGTTTTGAAAATGATTTCAAATATAGAGACAAGTTTCCAGGAAATTATAATTTCTACAAACTTTAACCAGATTCACCAAATTTTTTTAATGTTTTGTCTTCTCTCTCTCTCTCTCTCACACACACACACACACACAAATACTTCAAAAAGTTCATGGAAAATGAAATTAAAAGATAATATTATTTTGATGGAAAAATTATTTTGGATGAAAAATTTTTAAGCCCATGTACACGTAGATGAGAAAGTTAATGGAAAATGTAAACTATGAAAACAAGCTATGCATGGGTTTCAAAAATACACCAAAATAAATTCATCTTTTAATTTCATTTTCTATGAACTTTTTGAAATTATATAATATACACATAATACCATAAGTTTTAAAAAGATTTATTTCAAATAGAGAGAGGGAGAGACAGAAAGAGATCTTCATCTGGTTCACTCCCCAGATGGCCACAACAGCCAGCACTGGGTCAGTCCAAAACTACAAGCCAAGAGCTTCTTCCAGGTCTTACACATGGATAGCAGGGCCCACACCACTTGGGCCATCTTCTGCTGAGCAGCCAGGATACGAACAACTGCCCATAGGGGAGGCCAGCATTGCAGGCAGTAACTTAACCTACTACACCACGAAACTGGCCCCATAAATACTATAAATTTAAAGGTCAGAAAACTACAAGTCCTTACCTAAATAAATATTCACTAAGTAACCTTTAAAGTACAGTATTTTTCTTATAATGTTTTTTAATATTTACTATTTATGTACTTACCTATGATGTCTTCTTATCTCTGCACACTCTACTGCTATCCCAAATATTACAGCACTTGCTGGTATAACTTTCCCATACTTTTCGCAATTACCATTTTCACCTTTGGCCTAAAAATATAATAATCAAAATGTTATTACTTTTATACAAATATGTGTATAGAATGAAAAACAATGAAAATAAGAAAGGACTTTAAAATAAGGCAGGATCTTTTTCTTTAACAAGTAGTGTCCCTACTGTGTATATATATTCTCATATTTGTGTGTAATATTTTTTTACTTTATAATATAAATACTAAGGAAGGAAGAACAGAAAGGAGAAAGAAAGGAAGGAGATCAGGGAGGGAAAGAAGCTAGTCTGTACAACAAAAGCCTTTGGGGTATAACTAAGAAACCAAAATCATAATTACCTACATGAAAATAAATGGCTCTTCTTTTCAAATACTAACTAGTTTTTTGAATCCAAATCATTTTCTGTAAACATGTTAAAATCCTTTCATTCAGAATGGTTATTATATATATCAAATCTATGATTTGTGGGCTACAGAAGAAATATCAATGAAAAAAATATAACTTGGCAATTATAAGTGAGTCCCGTCCAGTTAGTAGCCTGGGTTCAACAGGTGCTGTAAAACCCTAACAAGCCGGTCAGCACTACCTTTTTGACAATCTGCCAAAACTGCAAGCAAGAGGCCGTGAAATGAGACAAGTGCTGCCTTTTCTCACTGCTACTCAACAACTGCAGGCAGTCCCTCCACAAAGAAACCCCAATTTTTGCTTATATACCTCATTTGGACACACAAGTTTATATATAACACATGTTATGTATGTATAAAATAAATTCTCAAATTTAAGTTTTCATACTGCTACCTTACCTTTGGTTGCAAAAGCAAATGCTCCCATGCATGAATCAAACTCTCCACAATTCCTTCTCCAAATAAACCTGCATCGACAGTTTCTGTTACAACTAGGGACACTCTATAGAATGATTTTTTAAAGATATATGTAAGTAAAGTGTTATGCTATTACACACAGATATCAAAGCTGAGAGAAGAAAGGAAGAGTATTTTATAAAAATAGCTCATATACAAAATTTTCTAATATACTCCATTTTGAATCTCTACCCCTGAATCTTTAGAATTTGACTCAAACTTTCCTCACACCCCTTTGTTCTCTACTGGCTCCTTCTCTGTGGTTTGAGGGTTGGAGGAACGGCCTTCACTTGGCACTACTGCCTCCTCATGCTTATAAACATAAATCCTTAATCGTAGTTCTTACCATTACCTTTCCCAATCTCCTTTCCTGAAGCCATGTAAGTGCACTTCTAACACTCTATAAACATATTCTGTCATCAATGATTCCCTACTTATCAAAAGTAACTCTCTTTCTCAGTTCTCATTTTTCTTGATCTACAATTAACATTTAATGAAAGTTGGGATCTTCCTTCTCAAAAATCCAGTGACCATCACCCAGGACCCGAGTTTGTCTCTTACACACTGATTGTGCCTACCTTGTCTCTTCTCTTGCTTATCTATTACTTCACTACTACTTAGCTGTGAGTACACAAAGGTGCCTAGTCCACACAGCTCTACTCTTTTTGCACATTCTTTCTTTTTAGACAAGTTTAATTCAAAGACAAAATAATTTCTACTTTCCTTGAATTCCTTTTGTGATTACTAACAATCTTATTTATTTATGTAGTTAGAAGATAGTTTCATAAATATTTCTTATCTTGTTATCTAGACTATAGTAGAAATGTACTTAATAGTTCACTGTTTTACCTTTTAAAAATTAAACACTAAAATTAGTTTACACTGTAATACCTTTCAGGAATGTGTTTTGGAATCTCTATGTCAAGTGACTTCATATGTAACAGTTTGATCCCTGCATCCATCTTGTTTGCTGCTACTACATCACAGGCAAGTTCATACATGGTCTTGGATAACTCACAGGCATACACAGAGTGTGCTCCAGCCTTTTTAGCAAACATGCTACAAGGAGGAAAAAAGTCGTACATCAAGAAAAAATAATCTACTGTACATTTTCATTTTAATTGTCTTTTTAACACAACCATTACTTGTTCTTTATTAAAAAAATACACTTGTATAGAAACAAATCATACAATAAATCATGACATCCACTGCATTAAGACAACACAATTGGGAGCAGGTGTTTGGCTTACTGGTTAAGATGCCTGTGTCCCACATCAGAGTGCCTAGGTTTGATTTTGACTCCAGCCTCCTGCTAATGCAAACCCTAAGAGGTAGGTGTGATGTGACGGCTGAGGTAACTGGGTTCCTGCCACCCACGTGGAAAGCCTGGACTGTGCTCCTGGCTCCTACCTGGTTTCCCAGCTTCAGCCTCAGTAACTGTGAGCATCTGAGAATCAGATAACTGCATGAGCACAGAGAAGCTCTCTCTTTATCTATGTGTGCATATGTATTTATGTGCATGAGGTGTGTACGTGTGTAACTCTCAAATAAATAAAAAATTTTAAAAGAGCAAATCAAGAACAAAAAGAAAAAAAGACATAATTGGCATGAAGGACACTAAAACAGATTTAACCTGGATGAGACTCACCAGAATGTTAATTAAAAAAATTCTTAAAATTCATTATTTAAAACTTCAATAATAATCCAAAGTTTTTCTTAGTATTTCTATGTCCTGACAAGTAAAAAATATAATGAAAAATGAAGTAATTGCATGAATAACCCTAACAAGATTATAAGATTTCTGAATTCCAGTATTTAAATTTCTATATCTGGCAAAATCTTTAATTCACATTATCATACATATGTATGCATATGTATAATTAAAACACAAATACAACAAACCTTAGTATTCCAGTTCCTGCTCCAATGTCCAAAACACTTTTGGACCCTGAAGTAACAGCCTTCTGGATTGCTGCATTATACACCATATTCCTCTTGGTGTCGTTAAGCATAATAAAATGCCAGCGTTCCACCAACCAGTTTGCAACACGATAAAAATTTTCCTTGGCATCATTGAAATCAGGGTTTAGCTTCACTGCTTTATGAAAATACCCAGCTGCTTCATCTCTAAAGCCCATCCTAGAGTATAAAATGACAAAGACAAAAGGTATTTGACCACATGCTACCAATTACAGTGCCTCTGTTCATGCTACTTACCTGGCCTACTTACCAGACGCAAATTCTGCCCAGCCCAAGTACTCTCTCCTTCAGGAAACTTCTGTGAGGACTGCAATCCTGACGACTTCTTTCTTTTCTGAATCCCTACTACATTTATGTATCTCAGGTCATTAACAAGTAAACCTAAATTTGATATAAATTATATTGACGTAAAGTAGAGATCCTCCAATAAAGCAAGAACATCGGGGCCAGCACCATGGTGTAGCTGCTAAAGCCACTGCCTACAGTGTCAGCATCCCATATGGACACAAGTTTAAGTCCCCAGTGCTCCAATTTCAATCCAGTTCCCTGCTAATGGCTCGGGAAAGCAGCAGAGCATGGGCCAAGTCCTTGGGCCCTTGCACCCACATGGGAGACCCAGAAGCATCTCTGGGCTCCTGGCTTTGAATCAGCCCAGCTCCAGGAATTGCAGCCACGTGGTGAGTAAACTAGCAGATTCAGAACCTCTCTCTCTCTACTTCTGCCTATCCCTCTGCCTCTCTGTAACTCTTGCCTTTCATATAAATAAATAAATCTTTAAAAAAAAAAAAAAAAAAAGCCATGGAGCAGGCGCCGTGGCTCACTTGGTTAATCTTCCGCCTGCGGTGCCGGTATCCCATATGGGTGCCAGGTTCTAGTCCCAGTTGCTCCTCTTCCAGTCCAGCTCTCTGCTCTGGCCCGGGAAGGCAGTGGAGGATGGCCCAAGTGCTTGGGCTCTGCACCCATATGAGAGACCAGGAGGAAGCACCTGGCTCCTGGCTTCGGATTGGCGAAGCACGTTGGGGTTAGGGTTAGACCATCTGGAGGGTGAACCAACGGAAGGAAGACCTTTCTCTCTGTCTCTCTCTCTCTCTCTCACTCTCTGCCTGTCAAAAAAAAGCCAGAGCATCACTTGCTAGAGCACCAGTTCTCTCTGCAAACCATTCCCTGGTAAAGCATACTAAAGCCAGTGGCTAGGAGGCTCCTCGCAGCTGCTCCTGCAATATCTTCTCAGCAACTGAGCTGAATGGTTGTCAAAAATCAATTCATGTGCTGCCAGACCAGTTTATGCCAAGTGTATCTGTAATTATAATTATGCATTTTAGCTAAATTTTACAGAAAAGTAAGTATAATTGCAAAAAAGAGAACTAATATGTCTAAGGACACTTAGCAAAATCAAAGCCAACTCACCCCAGAAATGGCTTTTGAATTAGATATGAGCAAATAAAAAATAAAAACCAGGAGGGAACCTCTGAAATCATCTAGACTAGTGCTCCTCACACAACCTGTGAAGAATCCCTCCCTTCCTTTATTAAAAGATCTAATCATTTGTAGACCAATATGGTTTTACTGCACATGGTACATCACATTTCTACAGCAACCAACCTGTTCTAACCTCTCCCAAGAAAGTGAGCTCCTTGACTAAATGTTTGGATATAGAGCAATGTCAAATTACTATATACAAAAAAAAAAAAAAATTGCTATATGCAATCCAAAAACTTCTGGTGGACTACCAGTTTGCTTCATTATAAAGTTTCATGGAGAATACACAGAAGTTGTAATGAAGAAAAAACTGTTCTATAGAAAAGTCATATTTCATTTGTAAAATTACATACATAAAGTAGATAATATAAGGAGCCAATATCTGCTCACATTTTCCTCGACTTATTTAGCAGACTCAAAGAAAATGAACTCTTGGCCGGCGCCACCGCTCACTAGGCTAATCCTCCGCCTTGCGGCGCCAGCACACTAGGTTCTAGTCCTGGTCGGGGCGCCAGATTCTGTCCCTGTTGCCCCTCTTCCAGGCCAGCTCTCTGCTGTGGCCCGGGAGTGCAGTGGAGGATGGCCCAAGTACTTGGGCCCTGCACCCCATGGGAGACCAGGAGAAGCACCTGGCTCCTGCCATCGGATCAGCGCAGTGCGCTGGCCGCAGCGCACCAGCCGCAGCGGCCATTGGAGGGTGAACCAACAGCAAAAGGAAGACCTTTCTCTGTCTCTCTCTCTCACTGTCCACTCTGCCTGTCAGAAAAAAAAAAAAAAAAAAAGGAAAATGAACTCTACTGTAATAGCTAAATTTTTTTAAATAATTTAACAAAAAAATTCTATATACCAAATCTCAAAATGTTTTCTGAGAGATATCCATTTGCTACTGTAAATATTCACACATTTTATTCTGAATGACAACATAAAGAGTTTACAATAATGACCAAATATAGAGGGGATACTGGTCATATTAGAGATCCATGTTCTTAAGGAAAAATTTATTTATGAAACACTTTCTCCACACTGAAAAAAACGTGTAATCAACAATGAGCTGATTGCTAAATTAATTAACTTCTGGAACCTTCACAGATTAGACTCCTTCCCCAAAGCTCGGGTCCTAAGCAGTCTACTAAGCCAAACAAGGGACCCCATGGCATCAGAGACAAAACTACCTGCTAAGTTATCAATGGATAATTAACTAACAGAGTCAAGACACACTTAAGAAGATAAACTGTGGTCATTACTAACCACATTAACTTTATTTTAGCTGGATGTGATTTGACGTAAGGAGGAGGCAACAGAGGGAAAAGACATGAATAACTAAAAAGAACATGTAAACCAAGGTTCTTTAATTAACTAAATTCCTATGAATCTGAGCAACTATCATTTTCCAACTTGGCAGAATTATACTCTCCACTGCTCTCAAAGGTTCAAATTTAGAAGCAATGTTAACCTTTCATTATACTGCCTGTACTTTCTCAGTATTCTTTTATGCACATGTGCTGGTGTGCAGAATGAGTTAACAAAAGAAGCCCAACTGCTATCCTTTGATAGCAATTGGCCCATGGCTAACATCTGAGGATTTGGATTTGGAGATATTCCACTACCCTGACAAGAGTGGCTTACTGTACCTAAACTATACAGAGTGTGGTTTATGCTAACCGTCTTTCCTTCTGGCAGCCTAGAATTTTGGTATGTGCCAGGTAGAGTGTACCACAATGCCCAGTCCCAAATAAAAGCCAAGAGCACTGAGCCGTAATGAGCATCCCAGGGTGGCAATATTTCACAGGTGTTACCATGACTCTTTGCTGGGAGAAGGAGTAGACCCTGTGTAATTTCACTGAAAGAAGACCTTGTGAGTCTTCTGCCTGGTTTCCTGCAGACTTTGCACTTTTTCTTTTTGCTTCATTTACTTTCATTGCAATAAATCAGAGCTTTAATTGACTATCTGCTGAGTCCTGTGAGCCTTCTTAGCAAATGAGCAGAACTGAGTGGTCTTGGGGGGCCGGAGCTGTGGCACAGAGGGTAAAGTTGCCACCTGTAAAGCCAGCATCCCAAATGGGCTCCAGTTCAAGTCCCAGCTGCTCTACTTCCAATCCAGTTCCCTGCCAATGTGCCTGGGAAAACAGTGGAAGATGGCTCAAGTCCTTGGACCCTTGCCACCCACACAAGAGACCCAGAAGAAGCTCCTGGTTCCTGGCATCAGATGGGTCCAGCTCTGGCTGTTGCAGCCATTTGGGGAGTGAACCAGCAGAAGGAAGATTTCTCTGTCTTTCCCTCCCTCTTTAATTCTGCCTTTCAAATAAATAAATAAATCTTTAAAAGAGAGAGACAGAGACAGACATGTCTTGGAAACCCCCAACACAACCATTTTCCCCTTATTGCCAAATTAACTCTTTTTTAATTTGCTCTATGACAAAAATATCTGGCCCTTTAATATTTTTCCACCAGTTAACACAAGGGTAGGTTTTATCATTAAAAAGTGCTGGAGAGCCATGGCAGGAGGAAGGGTCTTGCTTCCTAGTGGCAGTGTGCCCCGTGCTTCTCCAGCCCCAGGCTTCCTGAAGTACAAGGCAATGAGTAGTATCCAATGGTAAGAAACTCCCCCTAGAACCACTAGCTTACTAAATAATTTTATAATGGAGTACTTCTTTTTTTTAATATATATATATATTTTTTATTTGACACACAGAGTTATAGACAGTGAGAGATAGAGAGAGACAGAGAAAAAGGTCTTCCTTCCACTGGTTCAATCCCCAAACAGTAGCTACGGCCAGCGCTGCGCCGATCCGAAGCCAGGAGCCAGATGCTTCTTCCCAGTCTATAATGGAGTACTTCTTTTGAGATACTTTCCCATGAGGTTTTCTCTAGCAACATAAAAAGCAAATTCAACCAAGTTTCAGAGAAAAGTTTTACAAGCTCCTAATAAGGGACCACAGTAAATTCTCTGCCATCCTATGAACCATACCCCTAGTAAGGCTTCAATCTCAGTCCAGTTGGGGGGAACTCTTCCCTGGGTAGTCTAACTCGGCTCCAGGGACAGTGGCTATCATGTATCATATTAGATAATATAAAAACTGCTGATTAATACATCATATCTGTTATTCCCACATTTTTCTGATTTCTTATTTCTTACTCACCAATCCCTTATTACTCTGATCCTGTTATAGCTAATAGTTCTTTATAAAAACTTTTCCTGCCCAAATTACTATATAATTTATTCTTGAATCCAGAATGATACAGAATAATTCTCAACAAGTAATACTGAAATCTACAAACCTGAAGAGATGCTCCCCCATACTATTGCAAATCACTTCATCATCAGGAAAAAGTTCCAAGGCCTGCTCATAGCAACCAAGTAAGTCTTGTATTCGACTGAGAGCATGAAGCTCTTCGGCCCATCTGAAGAGCGTGTACTGAAAAGTTTCCTTTATAAACAAGAAAAGAAATGAGTTAGTCAATTAACATAAAAGATCAAAGAATATACAATATTAGTTGAAGATCCCAGAGAAAGGAACTTAACTATTACTGAACAATCACTTAAAAATCACTCAGTTTTAGGTTGCTGTTTGTTGATTAAACATAAATGCAGAAATGAATTTTTAACATACAAGTGAATAATGTCAGAATTAGACAGTTTAGCCACCTTGTAAATTCCTTTCCTTCTCATCTCCATATCACATCACTCTCTGGATTCTCTGCCTACCTCGTTTTTTGTGGACTCCTATATTTTAGTAGTATGTCTTTGGCCCTCTTTACCTCTCATCCATCACCAATGCATTAACTATCACCAATGTGTTCATGGATGCTACTCTAATCAGGACAGTATCCTCTGAACCTCAGTCACCTCAACCAGCCATACCAAATATAGTTCAATGCAAATATTTCCTGAACAATCAATATGCGAAGAACTGGGGCTATCACATAATGAGGAACAACACAAATCATGTTCTTATCCTCATAGAGACCCTGTAGTGAGAAATTTAACAAACAAGTGAAAAAATTCAGAATGTTTGGGGCTGGCGCTGTGGTGCAGCAGGTTAAAGCCCCGGACTGCAGCGCCAGCATCCCATATGGGCACCAGTTCAAGTCCTGGCTGCTCTACTTCCGATCCAGCTCTCTGCTATGGCCTGGGAAGGCAGTGGAAGATGGCCCAAGTCTTTGGGCCCCTGCACCCACATGGGAGACCCAGGAGCAGCTCCTGGTTCCTTGCTTCAGATCGGCGTAGCTTCGGCTGTTGTGGCCATTTGGGAAGTGAACCAGCAGATGAAAGACATCTCTCTCTCTCTCTCTCTCTCTCTGGCTCTGGCTCTGGCTCTGGCTCTAACTCTCTCTGTAACTCAGTCTTTCAAATAAATAAATCTTTAAAAAAATTCACAATGTGCTAAAGTAAACTATCATACTCCTCTTACACAGGATATAAGGTTGAGATACCACTCAACCTCAAAGCACAAAGTCACCTTTTAATGCTACTCTAACTCCATATTCAATGTTTCAAATCCAGCAAACCCTCCTGAATCTTAATGAGGTCAGCGGTGTCGCATAGTGGGTAAAGGTACCACCTGAGATGCGAGCATCTCATGTTGGTGCTGGTTTATGTCCTGGCTGCTCCACCTCTGATCCAGCTCCCTGCTAATGGTGTAGCAAAACAGAAGATTTCTCAAATGCTTGGGCCGCCACCCACACAAGAGACCCAGGTGGAGTTTCTGGCTCCTCACTTCAGCCTGGTCCAGCCCTGGTCATTGCAGGGCTGCGAAACAATGGATACAGGATATCTTTCTCTCCCTCTCTCTCTCTTTCAAATAAAAATAAATAAATCTTAAAAAAAATTTATAAAACTGCTGCCTCTTCTCCATCCCCATTGTTAACAACCTAATCTGGCCTTTGTAATCACTTGCTGGACTACAGTAGCCTCCTCACTGTCACCCCAGCTCCAATCTCATCTCCCTCCAGGTATTCTCCATCCTGCAAGATTGTGGAAAATGGGATTACTTTAGACAATCCAACTTCACCATGCAAATATTTTAAATCATCTTAACCCCGGCAACTGAATCACTAGAAAGTCTACTAGAGTGACAAGGATAAGAAGGAGGTTCTAAGGTGGAGAGAAAAACAAGAGATTACATGAAATGGATCATGGGCTCTACAGGTAAGTAGCTTGGTGTGACTGGAGTGTGGGGGTGGAGAACAGAAGGAGTAGCAGGAAATGAGACTTCTGCAAAGAAACACAAACTTTGTTCAGCAGAAAACGAGGTTACTGAACTCTGTCAATCATGACAGTATGAATTTTAAAAGTCTTTAAAAGTTTTATTTATTAATTTATTTATTTGAAAGGCAGAGTGATTGGTAGTATAGGGGTTGGAGGTGAGAAACAGTAATCTTCCATCTGCTGTTGTACTCTCAAATGCCTGCAACAGCAGGGACTGGGCTACTAGGCTGAAGCCAGGAGCCTGGAGTTCCACCCAGGTGTCCCATAAGGGTGACAAAAACTCAAGTACTTCAGCCATCATTTGCTACCTCCCAGGCACATTAGCAGGAAGCTGGGTCAGAAACAGAGTAGTGGAGGGCTCAATCCCAGGTACTCTGAAATGGGATGTGAGCATTCCCAGCAGTGGCTTAAACCGTTACACAACACCAGCCCCTAGCTGCACTTCTATGTATTAGTCACATGAATGGCAGAGTGACAAAGATACAGACACACAGACAGAAAGAGAGATCTTCATTCCACTGGTTCATTCCCCAAATGGGCACAACAGCCAGGAGCCTTGAACTCCATCTGAGTCTCCCATGTGGGTGTCAGGGACCCAAATATCTGGGCCATTCTGCTGCCTTCCCAGGCACCTTTAGCAGGGAGCTGGATTGGAAACAGCGCAGCCAGAATTCAAGCCCACTCCATTACGGGATGTTGGCATCACAGGCGGCAGCTGCGCCACAATGCCAGCCCCTAAATGAGCTTTTAATACACACTAAACATCATCAAGAGAGGTACTGTCCCTGATTATAACCCCCCCATGCCACAATGCCAGTGTCCCAAAATAGACTTTTAAATCCATTTTTCTTTTTGAAGGATTCTCATAACACTACCTACATACAGGAGCAATCATCAACATATCATCTCCACCCAGAGTAGGCCAGCTGGTTAGAAAATTTACACTAAATTTATAGGAACTACAAACAGAGCTACCTACATCTACTGTGAGTAGAAGTCAAGGACACTGCTAAACACCCAAGACAAAGAGGTAACCCATGCAAAACTGCAACAGTGCAGCCATGGAGAAACACTGGGTTACATAAAGCAACGTAGGTGGTGGTGAAAAGCTGAAAGTGAACCTGAATCATTTTTCCAAATTCAGGTTTCAGAATCCCTTGGGAAGGAAAAAAAAAAAAAAAAGTACACTCCGGTAACAGAACAGTTGTCAAAAATCACGCAATCATCGAAGCTTAATGAACGCATCCACAAGTGACGGTGAGTTTAGACGAGTAACAAAATTTATCCAACTACAGAGACCTACACCATCCTTTCTACACACAGCAGACACACATGCAAAGGCTCTGACGGGGGAGAAAGGGCATGCTTAAATTCGATTTGGAGGAGAGGGGGGGTCAGCCAAGGCCTTACTGGCAATTCGAGGGCCTTTAGAAGTGCAATTGGACTTCTGTCGTGAAAAGCTGGCTGCATTGAGCAGACTGCAGGAGAGAGCCTAGTAATGAGCCTGCTACCACACTGGCGGCGGATGACTGAGGCTTGACAGGGTGGTAAAGAGAAGCAGGAAGATGACAGACACCATGAGAAAGTGGAGCCGACAGGAGCTTCGGAGAGCTTTTCCTGTGCGTGCATAAACGGCAGAAGGCAAAAGTGAACACTAAATATGAACAGCACCCACCAGCGACGGATCCAACCCTCTTCCACGCGCGTGCGCGTACACACACACACACTTTTTTTTTTAATGGAACTTCCGGCAACAATTTAGATGAAGGAGGGCCCTTACCTTCACGTCGTCTTTCAGCTCCGGCGCCAGGCTGAGCACGAGGAGGTAATGGGCATAGGCGGTGCCGAAGTCCTGGGCGCCCAGACAGTGCTCGGCGCTCTGCAGGGACCGCGACACGAGCTCGTCCCGGCCGGCTGCCCCGGTGCCACCCCGGGCGCCCCGGCGGGGCCTGGGCCGCGAGTTCGGCATGACAAAGTCACTAATCACAGGAGAGACGCCTTCGTAAACAGAACGAAAACGCTCTCTCTTTGGTATTCTCCCCGGTGACTCAGCAGAGCTCGAGAACCCGGCCAGAGAAGTTATCCCTCGGCCGCAGGTGAGCGCGCCCACTTCGGTCAGGCGGAATCTCCGCCCTTTTCCAGCCTAGCAAGCGCCGCAACCCAAAATGCACACTGCGCAACTGCAAACTGCGGCGGACGGCGCATGCGCTGCAAACGTCAGCGCGCCCGGCGTGGGCACGTCGACGCATGTGCCCTCCCAAGGAGGAAAGGCACGGGATTGCGCCTGCGCGTAGGCTTGAGCGCGGTAGTCGGTTTGGGAGGCTCTCGGTTTTCTTGTTTGTAATCCGAGCTTTCTCTTCAGCTACTCTTGCCTCCAATGGAAGGCCAGTCAGCGCGGAGTGGACTAAAGGACAGTCAGGCATTTGTGGTGGTGCTTGAAAGCGTTCTGCATCGTGATGCGCCGAGACTGGAGAGAACCCGGAGTTAGCCAAAGTGTCTTCGAGGTGGTAGAAGGCACGCTTTTACGGACTCTATTTTAAATCATTCTTACAAAACTGGGGGCGGGGGTAGGGGAGGCTTCAGTCCTCACTCAAAGACGGAAAGGTGACATCCAGAGAAGTTACGTGGCCGAGTTCACAGAACCAGTTCGCGTCATGGACATGGCTGAAATCTAAGCTCCCTGACCACCTGTTCGGGTGTCTTAAAACGAGCCTAAGGTTTATTTCATTCCTCAGTGTCTGCTGCATAGAAGAACATTTTCTGCATTGGAGTGTGGCCCTCGAGATTCGAATTCAGTGGCCAGTGTTGTGGCGTAGGGTGCCAGGATTTTTTTTTTTTTTTTAAGATTTATTTATTTGAAAGTCAGAGTCACACAGAGAGATGGAGAAGCAGACAGAGAGAGAGGTCTTCAATCCGCTGGTTCACTCCCCAATTGGCTCCAACGGCCAGAGCTGTGCCGATCTGGAGCTAGGAGCTTATTCCAGGTCTCCCACGCGGGTGCAGGGGCCCAAGGTTTTGGGCCATCTTCTACTGCTTTCCCAGGGCATAGCAGAGAGCTGGATCGGAAGAGGAGCAGCTGGGACTAGAACATGTGCCCATATGGGATGCAGGCGCTTCAGGCCAGGGCTTTAACCTGCTGCACCACAGCGCCGGCTCCAAGGGTGCCAGTTCTGATCCAACTCTCTGCTGTAGCCTGGGAAAGCAGCAGAGGATGGCCTGAGAGCTTGTGCCCCTGAACCCCCTTGGGAGACTTGGAAGAAGCTCCTGACTCCTGGATTCTGATCGATCTGCTCTAGCCATTGCTGCTACTGGGGGGTGAACCAGCGGATGGAAGACCTGTCTCCCTCTCTTTTTCTGTACCTCTGCCTTTCAAATAAGTAAAATAAATCTTTATATATACACATACATATATATATTTGAAACTTAAAGATGGAGAGGGGCATAGAAATTAAAGCTGAAAGAATTTGTGTTCCATTTTCAAATATGTTAATGGTGAATATTTTTAAAAAACAAAAATAGAGCAGCTTACATATTAAACTGAAAAATTGAGGGCGCCAGCGATCAAAGAGCCCTCGTTTGCATGCCTTTTTTCATATGAACCTTCTCAGCACCCGCTGAGTAATCAGTTCTTTAGGCATCCACTCAACTACACTGCACCTGCTCCCCTAGCAGCAAGTGCCACAAGGCAGAAACTACTCAACCAATTTAGTTTTCTTTCCACCTAGCAAAGTATGACCAAAAGGAAAGACTTAGATTTTTTTTTTGTGCATGTAATGCAGAATGCCCCTCCATGCTTCTGCATTTTGCTTGTAGATTTTACCAGTGATTTATGTCTTACTTCTCTCCTATCCTTAATTACTACTTCCTGTGCTAAACAATTTAAGACCTAACTATGTGGTCTTTCCCTAACAAGACTGAAAGGCCTGAGGCTAAGGCCTCTTTATTCCTAAAAGAATGCACGTAGAACTTGATGCTTTAAATACAAAAAAAAGAGCATGTTCTAATTGAAGCTTGAGACAGAGGCAGAGAGAGCAGAGAATAAACCAGCCATATAAGATCTCTCTCCCCTCCCACTCTCTACAATTCAAATTATTGTTTTAAAGATTTATTTATTTTTATTTGAAAGTCAGAGTTACAAAGAGGAGAGGCAGAGAAAGAGAGGTCGTCCATCCAGTGGTTCACTCCCCAATAGGCTGCAACGGCTGGAGCTACGCCAATCCGAAGCCAGGAGCCAGGAGCTTCTTCCAGGTTTCCCACGTGGGTGCAGGGGCTCAAGGACTTGAGCCATCTTCTACTGCTTTCCCAGGCCACAAAATAGAGCTGGATCGGAAGCGGAGCAGCCGGGTCTCAAACTGGCACCCACATGGGATGCCAGCGCTTCAGGCCACAGCGCCGGACCTGCAATTCAAATTATCAAAGCTCCTGGCTTCAGTCCCACCCAGTCCCAGCCACTGTAGGCATTTAGGGAGTAAAGTGGGAGCTTCCTTTCTATCTCTCTCTTTCTCTCTCTCTCTCTCATATGAGATTCTTTAGTCCCTAAAAGTCACACAAATATTCAGTTACACTGTTCTACATGGACACAATAAAAGAATAGAGCCTCTTAGATTTGGTCTTTAGGAGTAAATAAACTGAAAAGGACACAGCCTCAACTTTTTTTGTAGTAACATTATAGGAAATGGATCATCAAGGTTCTTGCTTGCTTTTGGAATAACAAAGATGAGCCAAATTTACCTTAAAAATATTGAACCCTAGCCACAAATAAACCCTGCCTCTCAAATAAATATTTTAGCATTTTCTTTTTTCAAAACTTTTTTACTTTTTATTACTTTTTTATTAATATAAAGAGAACAGATTTAATGTATTTCATAGGTACAGTTCTAAGAAAATAAACATACTTCCCTTCCTCTCCCTCTCCCTCCCTAATTCCCCCTCCTTCCTTCCTTTCTTTTTTTGCTTTAATTTTTACAAAGACATAATTTCAACCCATTCTATAATCACAGGCCTAATTCACCACTAACCATAATCCTCAACAAGTAAAAAATAGAAAGACCAGGGCCGGCGCCATGGCTCACTTGGTTGGTCCTCTGCCTGCGGTGCCGGTATCCTGTGTGGGCGCCAGGTTCTGGTCCCGGTCGCGCCTCTTCCGGTCCGGCTCTCTGCTGTGGCCCAGGAGGGCGATGGAGGGTGGCCCAGGTGCTTGGGTCCCTGCACCCCGCAAGGGAGTTCAAGGGGAGGCGCCTGGCTCCTGGCTTCAGATCAGTGGGGTGCCAGCCGTGGCGGCCATATAAAAAAAAATAGACCACAGTTCCACAGAAATATAAACAAGGGCTGAAACTAACAATCATATCACAACATGTCCATTTCATTCCTATACATTTTTGTCTTCTATGTTAACTGCCACATATCAGGGAAAACATGATATTTGTATTTTTGAGATTGGCTTTTTTTCACTAAGTATAATGGTTTCCAGTGGCATCCATTTTGTTGCAAAAGACAGGATTTCATTCTTCTGTTTATGATTGAGTTGTATTCCATAGTGTGTATGTTCTGCATTTTCCTGTCATCAGTTGATGGACATCTGGGTCGATTCCATATCTCAGCTATTGTGAATTAAGCTGCAATAAACATGGAGGTATGGATCACTCTTTCACATGCTGATTTCATTTGGATAAATTCCTAAGAGTGGGATTGCTGCATCATGTGGTTAGATCTGTTTTCAGATTTCTGAGGTCTCTGCATACTGTCTTCCATAATGGTTGACCTAGTTTACATACCCACCGACGGTAGGTTAGGGTACATTTTCCCTACATCCTTGCCAACATTTGTTATTTTTTTGAATTTTGTATGATAGTCATTCTAACTGGAATGAAGTGAAACTTCATTGTGATTTTTATTTGCATTTCCCTGATGGCTAGTTATCCTGAGCATTTTTTTATTTGTCTGTTGGCCATTTGAATTTCATTCTTTGCAAAATGCTTTTTCATCTCCTTTGCCCATTTCTTAACCGGATTGTTTGTTTTGTTGTTGTTGAGTTTCTTGAGCTCTTTATAGATTCTGGTTAATAATCCTTTAGCAGTTGTGTAATTTGCAAATAGTTTCTCCCATTCTATCACTTGCCTCTTCATTTTGTTGAGGGTTTCCTTTTCAGTACAGTGTTTCTTTTGCAGTTCCTACCTTGATGTAATCCCATTTATCTATTTTTGTCCTCATGGCCTGTATTTCCGGGGTCTTTCCCAAGAAGTCTTTGCCTATGCCAATGTCCTGCAGAATTTCCTCACTGTTTTCCTCTAGTAATGTGATGGGATCAGTTCATAGATTTAGATCCTTGATTCATTTTGAGTTGATTTTTTATTTAAGGTGTAAGGTAGGAGTCTAGTTTCATACTTCTGTATGTAAATAAATGAATCATGAAGCCATCAAGAGGAAAAAGCATACTATGTATGATGTACACAATGTAATTAAGAGTTGACTTCTCATTAGAAACAAATACTGAAGGTCATGGGAATTGTATACACAAATTCTGAAACAAAAACTGTCAACAAAGAATTCTATATCTGGGGGCCAGCACTGTGGTGTAGCAGATAAAGCCATTGCCTGCAGTACCGGCATCCCATATGGGTGTTGGTTCTAGTTCCGGCTGCTCCACTTGCAATACAGCTCTCTGCTGTGGCCTGGGAAAGCAGTAGAAGATGGTTCAAGTCCTTAGGCCCCTGCACCCATGTAGGAGACCCAGAAGAAGCTCCTGGCTCCTGGCTTCAGATTGGTGCATCTCTGGCTATTGTGGCCATTTAGGGGATGGACCAGTGGATGGAAGACCTCTCTCTTATCTCTCTCTCTGTGCCTTTGCCTCTCTGTAACTCTGTCTTTCAAATAAATAAATCTTGAAAAATAATTCTATATCTGACAAAGTATATTTCAAAAATAATTAAAAGGTGAAAACATTCCCAGATAAAAACAGAGTTTTCTCTGAAGTTCTTATATTTGCTAAAGTTAGTCTTTCAGGCTGAAATGAACTGATACTAGTACATAACTGAACACTACATACAGAAATAAAGAATATTGCTAAAGTAAATACGTAGACAAATGTGAAAATCCATATTGTTATCCATTTGTTTGTAGCTGTTCTTTTTCTTCTATCTGATTTAAAAGGTAACTATACAGAGCACTAGTTTTAAATCCA